ATATATATATATATATATATATATATATATATATTTATGTGAGTGTGTGTGTGTGTGTGTGTGTGTGTGTGTGTGTATGTGTGTGTGTGTGTGTGTGTGTGTGTGTGTGGGTGTGCGTGTATGTGTGTGTGTGTGTGTGTGTGTGTGTGTGTGTGTGTGTGTGTGTGTGTGTGTGTGTGTGTATATGTGTGTGTGTGTGTGTGTGTGTGTGTACATGTGTGAGTGTGTGTGTGTGTGTATAATCATTACCATTACTAAAAGAGTCACGACAATCATTTGAACATCCTGAAAAAAACTGCATCTCATGACCTCGCCCGTCTACTCGTCTTTTCCACAGATTTCCACTCCGGAGAGCAAGAGAGCGGGCAGCGTCTTGGCCAACCGACGCTCCCAATGAATCCATCAGAATACAAGTTGACTCAACGAGAACGAATCGTTAGATTGCAAGACGATGACCTCACTGTTGGGACATCGTAAGCCGTCTAGGATTTAGAAATATACATTTTTTTTTCTCCTTTTTTTTGAAGACTAAAGGGAGGTTAGAAATATCTCAAGCTCCGTGAAGAAAACAAGGAAATTCATCTTTGGAAGAGGTTAATAACAAGCTATGTTCAGGGATTACAGCATGTGGAAAGTGTATATTACAAAAGATTGATTATACGTTCAAGCAGACGAGGCACAAGTGAAACTTTGAGACAAAATTGTTGACCTGACCTCATGTACACCCTCGCTATTTACTTCATAGCCTTATTTTTACCCTAAGTGTATGAATTCATGTGCCAGATATTGTATACAAGGTTTTATATTTTATTGTTCTTTATTATTTTCCATTGCTTCCGGGTTCACGTACTGTCCACGGTCATTTTCTTTTGCTAGTGTCGGTTGTTCATAGATGGCTCCACAAGCAGTTTGTCACCAAGGGGCCAATTAGCAGACAACTGATTTCCCTTCTTTAATTTTCAAGTTTTTTAATGTTATTAATATAGCTATTATTATTATTGTTCACAATTGATAAACAACTACAACAAGAACAGTGATACGGTATTTGTTTTTGCCAACCCATCATCAATGGATTAAGATTTGGGAGAATGAATTACTTTTTTTAAACACTACGTCTTTCAGATGAAATTCTGTACATTTTAAAATAATGCAATACCAGAAATAACCCCTCACTTACGCCTCCAAGAGAAAAAACACTGAAGATCAACAGGTGTGCGCTCGCCCAGTGACAAATACTGCTTTTGTTCATGGGTAATACATAGTACATTCTTATCTTTATTGTTGTTTGCTAAGGCGATACTAAATATAGATACCAACGCCTAACTGAACCTCTATTATAATGTACCTTATAGGGGAGAGGATGTGCTTTGAATACCACACATCCCTCTGTAACCATGGGTGTCCCCTCTCTACACAAGACAGGAACGTACTATGGTACATTGCAGACCAGTGGGACAGTTGGATGGGGTACTCAAGGTCCTTGTTTTATATTTCAGTTGAAAAAAAAAGTTATGGTGCCAAGGTCAACTGGTTAATTATCCTTCTCAATTATTCTTATCATTATCTTCTTTGATTTATATCCATCTATTTATTTTAATTTCATGTATTACAAATATTTATATAAAAAAAAATCAGATTTGATTTTTTTTTATTAATTTTCGAATTTTATTTATTCATTTACTTATTTATTTTTTTACGTTCCACACATCGTTCACTATGGGTTATCAGCTAAAAGGATTTCCTATTATCAGTGACCAGTAACTGCTTCTTTCGGTCGAGGGTGGAAAGCAACGGGAACTGGCTGTCGAAAGGGCAATGTCCAGCAACTAAAACTTTTCCAAGCAAGTTTAGAGGCAAAGCAAAACGGTCGATGATTCGAGTTTATCATTAACATAGTAATGATAATCCGGTTACAAAGCTTTACAGGTTATGGTAAACGTTTGAAAATGATTAGGATTATCAGGTGTAACACGTACGACCTTCCCGCTGAGGTTAAGTGTCATGTCGAGAATTACTAACCCTTACAAGACTTTAAAACAAATCGATAAACTCTGAGACATTCGATCATTCTACCTTCTCACAGTACGAAGCAACAAATAGCACATTATTCTTTAAGAGAAACTTAAAAAATGTACATGCATCAGTCAATCAGAAATTATCGGTATACAACCATTACTTACAAAAATGGCATAGCTAGTCTTGAGTTACAACCATTTGATTCTTTATTTGCAGCATTATCATCCTCTCCCTTACGATGCACCCCCTTTTTTAATCAGTATTATTGCTTTAAGATTAATTCTGTATTGGTTATTGAGGTTAGAAAACGACTGTATGCCTTTAATCTATTTTTTCCGAATCATTTACTTTCACAAAATCATTGTCTATAATAGCAACTGGTACGTTTGTCCTCTCCCAGGCTACAATTTTTACAAAAAATCTGTCATTTTGTATTCTTTCTTTTTCATACATCCTTCACAAAGTTTCACAGACAAAGGAAATATCAAAAGAAAATTGCTTTATTAGAATAAGAGAAAAAGCGTATTCCTTATGTACAGCCATTTAGTTCACACACATCATTAATCAGCAAGAGATACATGGTTGATTTAAATGAAGTTTAATTCTATTTCGCCGACTTGAAAGCACAAAGTTAATTATCTTTTAAGCTTTGTTTCCTAAACACGATAAATCTTTGGGTTGGCTGTAACCTCTGCTGTTATAATTTGCTATATTGATGTTTTCTATTTTTTTTCTTTTTTTTTTAGTTATGTCAGACGAATGGGTGAAGAAAAATGAGATGAAGAAGAGGAGGAGGAGGAGGAGAATAAAATGAAAAAGGAAAAGTTGAAGGCGAAAGAGAAAAAGGAGAAAGAGAAGAGGAAGAAGACAAATGAGAAGAAAAAGACGAAGGAGTCGAAGAAGGAGAAGAAGAAGAGGAAGAAGATAGACAGAGGCATACGAAGAAGGTAGAAAGAGGAATGCTAATAAGAAGGAACAGAAAAAGAAGAACCAAGGGAAGATGAAGAAGACGGAGAAGGAAAGGAAGATAAAAAAAAAAAAAGACAAGACGGAGAAGGAAAGGAAGATAAAAAAAAAAAAAGACGGAGAAGGAAAGGAAGTTCAAGAAGAATTGAAAGAAAGATGAAGAAA